ACCCTCCGGGATTGGAGAACATACAGTCTTCCATGAAACCAAGTTTATCCCGTGTCGTATCTCTGTTTTACCTCAAAGAAACCCCCTTATTATCCTCTCGATCTCGGCACAAGTACCTTTCGGAACAGGTGTGGACTGCATTGCATAAAACAGAATTGTCGATAGTATGGATTTTACCAGTGTAATTCTGTCGGGCAAGGATAAGTTCTTTTCCGTCCATACAGTAAGTCGATCCGAACTTTTTGAATCAAGTACTGATATGTGGCGTTTGTAACACGGCTATGTAATATAGGTACTCCGAGATATTTCCCAAAGTCTCTTACCTCCGGAAATCCACACAAAATATTGATCGTGGCTCGACATTGTTGTCCTACATTCTTGGAATACAAAATGTTTTTTTTTTTGCAAGGTTACCTTTCTGACTAGGAACAAGGCCAAATGTATCCAAAATTTTTTTATTATCTCCACTTGGTTCGTCGATGCATCCGTAAATAGTATCATATAATCCGCAAAACAAAGATGCGAGATAGCTAGTCCTTTCCGGGCTAGCCTTACTGGTTTCCAAGCCTTAGCTGACACACTCCTCTGTATAGCTTGGCCAAGTCATTCCATACACAGACCAAATAGGTATGGGGATAATGGATCCCCTTGTCGGATTCCTCTCGTGGGCTTGAAGGGTTTCAATGCAGCTCCATTCCATAGGACTTGGGTTGGGACTGACGAAACGCATCGCATAATCAACTGACGAAAATGATCTAGTAATCCGATATCTTTGAGAGTGTCATCAATAAATGATATTGGTTATTGAAATTTAGTTTAAATCATTATTTAAACAACACTTTTGACTGTAGAGCTTGCATGATGTAAGATTAATTATATATAATATATATAACCTAAAAAGCATGCATGATTTCACAAGGCACCAAAGCCAGAGGGGATGAAATAAAAATTAAGTCAAATAATGCAAGTATCACGATTTAATCCACTTGTATTTAAAACTTATTTTATACCAAAACTATTTAATTTACTTATCCTTGTACGAATCAAATTATCGATGGTTAAAAGAATGATTATTATTCTTAGACGTTTCGAGTTCAAATATCAGTGGATGCAGTAAGGGTGATTAAACATTCATCATTAAATAATTTGAAATATTTAGAACAAATATTACTTTATAATCACCATAGTTTAATAAAAAAATATCACGATTTAATAAAAATCATTTCACATTGATTAAAAATTTATAAAAGTTTTACTGCCAATTTCATCCTATTTAACATAGGATGAGTATAATTTATTTTCTCTAAAAAAACATAAGATGAGTATTTAATTAAATCGAGATAAATAAAATATTTTTTTTGAATTAATCGAATTAATAAGTTATATTTCGTGATTTAAAATCACATTGCGTGATTTTTTTAAACAAATCTAATAAAATAAATTTGTTTTTATTAAAATTTAAAAAATAGATTAAACTAAAATCTTATGATTAAGTTTCAAGTTATAGCACGTAAATTTAATATCATATATAGCAGTGTTTACTATTCAGTTTTAATCGAATTAATCAATCGAACTGAATTAGTTCGGTTAATTCGGTCGGCTACCGAATTAGTTTGTCGGGGAACGATTAATTTTTTTCAATATTTGGATAATGGTTAATTCAATTTGAAATTTGCTAATTAACCGATTAACTGAATTAACCAAAATTACTAAATATTAAATATATTAAATCCATATTTTAAGCTCAACCCCATTAAAAATTAAGATTCAATTGTTTTTAACCACACTAAATTCATTAAATTATCAATGCTTAATTAAATTTTAACCCAAATAAAAATATCTCAATTATAATAAAATTAATCTAATTAAAAAATTATAAAAAATTATAAAAATTATAAAAACATTTAGTTAATTCAGTTAACCGACCGAAATAATTGAACTTTGTTCGGTTTGGTTAATATTTTAAAAAAAGTGCGATTAGGTTAACGGTTAAAGAAAAATATTTAGATTAATTCGGTTAATGGTAATTTGGTTCGATCGGTAGTCGAATTAACCATTTAAACACCCTTAATCATAAATTTGAAAACTCTTTAAAACAAAATAAGATCTTTTAGATTTAAAATTTTATTTGTTTAAAGCCTCAATTATCATTTTGTAACAATATTTTAATAGTTTAACATTTTATATATTTTTTGTAGACTATTGAATAACTATATATAGATATAATATTTTTTTTATAAAAAATAAATTTATATATATGTATATATATTAAAATTTTGAAGAATCTTTTTTACTTTTTTGTTACGAGTGACCAATTTGTAAGGTTTTGAAACTATAGACCCTAAGTTGTATTTATAAAAATCAGTAATTTTATTCATTCGAATTATTCAAATTGTAAAATTTAACTCATTTCAATTTCAAAAGTTATAAATTGGAATAACACGATTTGATTAATTTAAAATTCAAAATGTTCATATATTTTTCAAAATTTTCACATCTTACTTTCATGATGTTCAAATCCGAAACCTTAAAGAATAACATCAATTTTTTTACCATTGAAATCATTTGGTTCGTATAAAATTGAGGGTCCGTTTGATGTTAAAAAATATATGTTATTTTTATTTTCTTAAAAAATAGAAAACAATGAAGAAGACATGCTTGATTGTAAAATTGAAAAATAATTTCTGAAAATGAAAACAAAAATTAAGTAAAAATATGAAAACATAAAAAAGAAGAAGATGTTTTCAATATTTTCATTAAAATAGTTTTGAAAATTTGAAAAACAAATAGGAAAACACAATATTTAGAGTTTTAACTTAACTTAGACGGTTTCAAATATTTTTCACAATATCTTTTGACTTAATAATACATGAAACCCTCAAACTTTTGCAAAAAATAAATATGGTCCTTAAAATATTTTGCACTCAATTTAGTCCTTAAATTAAATTTTTTAATAATTTAATTTTGTAGTATTTTTATATTTAATATATTTAATATCTTAATAATTATTTATTTTTATATTTTAAATTTAAATATTTATTAATATTTCTAAAAAAATAATTAAGTCCTTAAACATTTTAAAATAATCAATTAAGCCCTCGAACTTAGTCAAAAAATCTATTAAGCTCATCTACCACATTGTCCATCATGTACTACCATAACAACATCGTGAAATATCACATTTGTATTATAGATTGTCATGCAATCTTTGTGAACTATTAAGTAAGTGTTGTGACAGTCAACGTTTGATTTGGTTAGTCAAAATGTTAGATTTATTTTTTATTAGTTTAAGGGTTGCATTGAGTGTAAAATAGTTCAAGGGCTACACTACTTTTTTTTCCTCAAAAGTTTGAGGACTTAAATACAACAAAACATATATTTTTTATTTTAATGACACTTTTGTGTGCTATTATTTACAACAATATTTTTATATATTTTTAATTTAATTGATGTCCAATATGTATTAACATTATATTCTTATTATAAACTAAAATTTTAATATTATAAAATTTCTTATCAACGTTATTATTTTATTGCATAACTCACCTATTAAAATTATATTTTAATATAATTATTTAATAACTATTTATTCATCTCTATTTTTTTTAAAAAAACACATGTAAAATATATTTTAACTATTTTTATTTCAAAATTGAAATTATTATTTATATTAACCAAACATATTTTCCAATCTTTTTTAAAATCTATTTTTAAAAATAAAACCAAAAACATAAAATATTTTCTTGAACCAAATGGGCTATGCTTTTGAGCCACCTTATTCTCCTCTTACAATCCCAATAAAAAAAAGCTTGTATATAACCCAAACTAAGGGTGTTCCAATAGGGATGTAGACTTATTTTCAGCAAGAAACATTCTATTTATTTAAGTGTCTAGAACCTTATATCTGGTATGGTCTGTCGAGACAAATAGTGAATTAACTAAATTGACCCCTTTTAACTTCGTTCTTATTTTCCTTTTCTATATTTTACACCTAAAAATTAAAAATGTTAGTAAAAAAAATTTAACCCAATTTGCAGCAAAAGCCTCAAAGACCCAATAAAAATGTTAGTAAAACAAATTTAACCCAATTTTCAGCAAGAAACATTCTATTTATTTTCCTTTTCTTACATACTAACAAGCATATAAGAAATTGCATGGTAACCAGACAACATTTTGTCCATATTTGATAAGTTTTGATTCTTTTTAATCTAACTAGATTGATTTTTTTTAAAAAATTGGAATCAGATGAATAGAGACATATATGGAGGGTGGATGCGACTTCTCAGATCTTATCCTTTCAAATTTTTTAGTTTAATAACATTTTAAGATCTTACTAGATTAAATTTGAATAAAATTAAATTTTTGTCGCTTTAAATTTTTAGATTAAATATTTTATTATTTTAAACTTAAGTACCTTGTCCCTTATAATATTTAATATTGGCTCCCTCACTATAAATCAGGTCATATCAGGTTTTCTTAGGGTGGAGTTAGATCGAGTTCAAATTTATAATAAAAATTGATTGACTTGACTCGATATAATATTATAAATATTCATCATATATTTAAAGATAATTTTAATAATACATTTTTTATTTTTTAGTTAAATTTTTATTTTACCTAATAAAAATAAATTTTATATTTACGTTTAATAAAGTTGGGTCAAATGCAGATTTAAATCTTAAAATTAAAATTTAAATATAAACTATAGGTTAGATGCAGTAGAAGAATTTATTTTTCGAGTCAAATTTAAGCGGATAAAAATTTTAGTATGACCTGACCTATGTTAATCCATGATTATAATTGCAATTAATGAATGTCCAGCTCTTTTTACACACCATACATGAGAATATTTATAATAAGCTAAATAACAGAAAAGCTACTTTCTAGATGAAATAAAAGTAGGAAAAAAGATTGCACAATGAAGGGTTTAATCATCGTAAAAGTGGATTAAGTAGACATGGAGTTATGAACTGATTGCCTACTTCGGCCCCCCTTGTTATGTATTTAATTAATGAAAGATAAGACCCTCCCACAGTATTCGACAGCTTGGATGGGGCATTTTCTTTTCTTAATCTATTGATGTCTGGTTATTAGAGTAATGCAAGTGGGGCACGTGACAAGTGGTCGACCTTACTTTATGAATGCTTTGTTCATCTGTCTCATTTGAAGCAGCACCAAAATCAAGTCGATATGAATATCTAAACAGGCATGCTTGACTAGAATCTTCATATTTTATTAGTTCTTATATAAATGCATTCCTTACCATGTAGTTTAGGTTAATAAAAGTGGTAGGAGGTTGGACCGTGGTGGCTCGACAGGATCGAACCAGCAAGCGTTGATGGTGGGGAGTCCTCCACCTGGTGGCACTCTAGGTTCACCCCAAATAACCGCACCAGCCTCTTTGGATTCCCAACTCTTGTACCTTGCTTTTCATTTTCGACAATGCTTCCTGCAAACCACAGTCCAAGATAACCATATATCCACCTTAATAATCGAGTTATTTTATATGAACAGTTCATTTTATTAATAATATTTATTCTAAAATTTTATGTATATCTATTATATTTAAAAAATATATTATTAATAAATAATTATCTTTAAAAATATTTTTAAATTCGTTTCTAAAAACCTCGAAAACTTTTTACTTATCTTCCACTTACTACCGACAATTTTAATACTATTTTTCCAATCCCGATGCTAATGCAGTTCCCGAAATAGTTGATTTTAAAAAGAAGCTAGCTAGAAAAAAAAAAAAAACAGACTTACACAAGCACATTGCTCCCATGTAATTGGAAAGTGTCTTTCACGCACTTCTATGTGCTATAAATTCCCAAATTTTATAATAAAAATTTTTAATATAAAAATAAATGTTTAAATTATACTTTAAATTTATTTTAAATGTTTTAAAATATTTTCGTTAAAGGTAGATGTATAATATTTTCAACATTACAATTTAAATACCTGGACATTAATCGTTGTTAAAATTTCATTAAGGTTCCATTTAGCATGACTTTTTAAAAGTATGTTTGGGTAAAAAGTTCATTTCGACCGTAAAATCAATATCAAACAGATAAAAAGTAAAAAGAAAATTATGGTGGAAACGATAGTTTCAAACCAACTGTAAAAGATAATATTTCTAGCTTTTTCACTTTTAACTTTGCATTTGAAAGCAATTTATAATTTTACTCTTATGGAGTTCCGCTTAATTATGTATTTACATTTTATCTTAATAATTTAATACTAACATCTTTAAAAAATAATTTATTACTTAATAATTTATTTTAAATATTAATTTTTTAGTATTCTTTTTGTCAAAACAAGTTTTTAAGTTATTATTTCATAATAATTTATATGGTCACATGTTAAAAAATATTGATAATATATTTTTCTTAATAAAATGTTTCATATATAAAAATATTATTAATGAGTTATATTAAAATACTTTTGGTATTTTTATTATAGTTGAAGTTGATATATTTTGTATATCATAGTATTAATAAGTGAAAATATGATTTAAATGCTATATTTGTAATTTACAACACAATATCTATAACTATAATAGACATTTTATCTTTTCAAATTCAATTTTTAATAATAATTCCAAGAAATTAAATTTTAAACTTTACTTTTGTATAGTATTTTTAAAAGTTCATTTTTACAATACTTTTAAAAATTCTCAATTTTCAAAAGCCACGTCAAACTAACGCTAAGTGACATATGTCACATTTTAGTAATTTTGAGAATTTTTATTAAAAATAAAAAATACCAAAATTAAAAAAAAATAAAAATTTTCTCAAATCTTAAAGAAATCTCAAAACTTTGAAAATCATAATTTTTATTATCGTCATCATTGTCATCGATAAACCTAACCTCGATCGCGCTTTCACCCGATGAACAACCATCGATGAACTTCAAATCACGATTTAAACCCAACAAGAACAAGGAAATGCGACTTTTACGCGACTCCAAAAGGTCTGATGGTGCAATCAACGACAAGGAAGACAATATCTAAGAAGAGAGATGGTAATGGAGTTGTCGGCGTCATTGGTCGTTAATGGCAAGGGAGAAATAAGGCTTATTTGTTTTAGAGAAAATAAGGGGCTAGAGTTAGGGGTTTGGGATTTTTTTTAATTTTAGTTAAATTAGGTTTTTTTATAAATATAATAATTTTTAAATTTTTTAAAATAATTTTTTAAAATTATTAGAATGTAACACTTTTTACTTAATAGATTTTGTAACGGCAGTTACGGTCCGAGCACCTAAAATGATAACACTTATAAAGTCATATATCAATTTTGAACGACAATTCATTAAGTACCTATTTTTAAAGAAAATTCTTTAAACACTCAAATTAAACTTTAAATATAGTTTGAATACTTATTTTTACATTGATAAAAAAAAAAAGGTTAAAACCCATTTCTTTTTAAAAGAAGAAAAATAGATAGTGTTTTATAATGTGAAAATATTTCACCTCATCCTAACAATTGAGATAATGATAAGAGTTCCAAATTTATCATATATAATAGTAAAATAAAATGGAATTTAACTTTTTTTTAAAAGATTTTAATTTCAAATAGTAATATTTATAGAACGTGTAGAGATTATTAATAAATTAAAAAAATATAGATAAATATTATTTTATAATTACTTTGTATTATTAGAAAAAATAATTCAAGGATTAATAGATGAATTAAGAAAAAAAATACCTGCACCGAAACAGTCAGGTTGGTTTAGCACATTAGCTCCAAGGTCTTGAATGTGCTCAAAATAAGGGTGCGCTCGATACAAACAGCCACCACTCCACCCTCCATGTCCACCACTATTATCGCCCATCGCGGCACTTCTTCCATTCGCAGCTGCTTCTGCAACTACCACCGCCGCATCACGCCTCCTCCACCTTATAAACAACCTATCACAATCGGTGCGGTGTCGATGGAACAAAATAACATCACCGGCATCGAGTTGCTTCTCTTTGACGTATCTGCTCCACCCTTTAGTTAACACGTAGCTTTGACTGCTGTTCCAATACGAGTAACGGAAACCCCAACACTTGCCGGACTCGTCCTCAAAACTCAGCAACAACCCACGGTTATCGCCCGAGTCACCGCCGAGCGGGAAGTATTTCTCCGCGTGTTGTTTGGGGATTACAAGCCTGTTCAGCTTGCCAACATCGCTGGGAGTTAAGGGTTTATCAAACATGGGTTCCCATTCATTTTCAAGGGACTTCGAAGGATTTGGTTCCATCGATGGATTTGCTTTCAGTTTACACAAAGTGGTTAATGGACATTTGAGAGACAAAAGAGATGGGTGCTTTGGAACAAGTATGGAGAAAGAAAAATGGAAAAGGAAAAAACAGGGCAGCCGTGATGATTATGAGTTCGATGTGCAAACTATTTAATGACAGCTAAAAGGGTACGACCGTGGGAGAGAGAAGGAAACAAACATATGGAAAGACGCTTGTTTAGGGTGAGCAAAAAATTCCATTTTTGATTAGAAATTTTGATTTTTTTTACTCGATTTAATTTGTAAAAATTTAATTCGAATTAACTTCGAGTTATAATTTTATAAAACCGACTCGATTCAAAAAAAAAAAATTAAAGTTTAAATCGAGTTGTAAAATACAACTCAAATAACTCAAAATTTTTAGTAATTAATGGATTAATTGTTAAGTTTGAGTTTAGTCCATCAAATTTGTATGATATATGTATATTATATATAAAAAATATAAAGAAATATATATGAATTTTATATTGTTATAAAAAACTATTTTGATCAAAATTAAATAATATCATAATATTATAAATATTTACAATTAAATTTAAACAAGAAACTTGAAAATTTGACTCTACTTGAATTTTATAAAATCGATTCGACTCATAAAAATTTCAAGTCAACTTAAAATTGTATAATAGAACTCATCAACCTGAATAACTCGAAATGACTAAACTCGATCGAACGTTCACCTCTACACTTATTAGTTGAGTATCACCATTTAAAACATTATTTTTAGAAATAATATGCATTCATGATTATTTATAAAAATGATATTTAAATCTATTATCTAAGAAGAAAGTGTGCACGTCGACAAAATTACTAGCATGGTGTAACACCCATAACTCGTATACATTTCTGTATAAACAGTACTGATGTCCCATCACTTAATAATTATTTATCATTTGAAAACCCTTTAAAACTTTTTGTTTTAAAATTGATTTTTCCTTAATTTAAAATATTAAATAAGTACTTGTTCAAAACACATTACAAAATATTTTATTACATTTAATTACATGCCATATAAGTTTCCACAATGATCATTATTGTCCTAATGTTACTGATAAGTCAACCTTAGTGGATGATATCTGCTGTTACTGCTGCACTACTTGATTGATCTCCTCTGTTACATACGCATGGAAATACACACGTTAAGTATTTACTTAGTGAGTCACAATATTCTATGATCTTTAAAGATTCCATGATCCTTTTCGGTTAAACTTCCTTTCATTCTCAATTATTATACTCATTGGTTATTATTCTCTCTTGTCCTTAACAATATCAATTTATATTTATAATGCCTTGGTATACACTTTTATTTATAACATACCTTTATGTTAATAATGCACCCATATGTATTTCAATCATAATATTTTTGATGTTGATAATGCACCCATATGCATTTCAATTATAATATATTTTTAATGTTGATAATGCACCCATATGCATTTCAACAATAGCATACTTTTCTGTTGATAATGTACCCATAAATATTTCAACTATAGTATACTTTACTGTTAATAATGTACCCATATACATTTCAACTATTGCATACTTTTCTGTTGATAATGTACCCATATACATTTCAACTATAGCATATTTTTCTGTTGATAATGTACCCATATACATTTCAACTATAGCATCATTTCATGCTGATAATGCACCTGTATGCATTTTAATTTTTCATTCATTTTAGAGCAATTCATACTCTAAAACTCATTCACAATATCAATTCCATATAATCAATAGAAACATAATAATTTCGATTAAACATACATTAACATTTAAATATTCTAACTTGACGAATCTCAAATCATCTTTATCTAAATTGAATACAATAAAGGTACTCACCTCGCTTGCCTTGCTTTGATGACCAAAATATAAAGATAATTATTCCGGGACTTGGCCTTTGCCTTTTTCCTTACTTGACTCGGGAGCTTGATTTCGATCTACTTAAAGCATCCATTCAAAACATGTACAATATACATTATTAGTATATTCCTTCTCAATTATACCTAAGAAATACTTAAAGATACATATTAAATTTATATAACAATCTCAATCTATCTTAGCATCTTTTACTTGGTAGTATCGATACCCCTACTATAGTATCAGTACTACTATACTATCGTACTGATACTCCCTTTCGGTATCAATGCCAAATTTATATTCGATGTTACACGATATTGATACCCTTACCATGGTATCGATACTACCTACTAGGGTACCGATACCCCCGTTCTGGTATCGATACAAAATTAGAATCGATGTTTCCCTGGTATCGATGCTGATAGGTATGGCTTATAAATATACCAGTAAAGAGGACAGGGGATGGAGCAGAGTGAGCGAAGCGAATGCCTATGCTATGGTACATTGAATAAAAATGTAACCTAAACCTATGAGACATTGAATAAAACTTCTAGCGCCGCCTAGGCACCGAGGACGTAAGCACATTGCCGAACCTCGTTAAAATTCTTGTGTTCTTTTGTTTTCTTTTTCCGATTCTTCAACAATTGGTATCAGAGATAAGGAGCAAAATTTGAAGTTGCGAAATTCGATGGACAGGGTAACTTCGGATTATGGAAAACGAGGGTGAAGGATCTGTTGGCATAACAGGGGATCCTGAAGGCTTTGCGACCAATAAAGTCGGCGTCGATGAAGGAGGACGATTAGGAAGAATTGCAACAGCGAGCGGCAGGAACCATACGATAATGCTTGGCGGACGAGGTTATGTATCACGTCATATATCTTTCGTCTCCAGACGAAATTTGGAGAAAGTTGGAAAGTCAGTTTATGTCTAAATCCTTAATGACAAAACTGTATCTGAAGCAGCGACTGTATGGGCTGAAGATGCAGGACGATCATGATTTAGCTCAACACGTGAATATCTTCAATCAAATCGTTTCTGATTTGGCTCGGCTTGATGTGAAAATTGAGGATGAAGACAGAGCGATGATTCTGTTGTGTTTGTTGCCTCTATCTTACGAACACATGGTGACTACTCTTACATATGGGAAAAAGACTATCAACGTTGAGGAGATTACTGCAGCCTTGTTGGCTCACAACCAGCGGAAGCAGAATGCAGGGAAAAACTCTCAAGCCGATAGCTTATATGTCAAGGGTAATCGAGATCGTGGACGGAAGGCAGAGAAGGCAGAGTCTGGCAAGCGGAATTCCAGATCCAAATCTAGGGATAAGAAGATAATTCACTGTTACAAGTGCAAAGAGGCGGGATATATGAAGCGAGACTGTCCGAAGTTGAAAAAGCAGACTGATGAGAAGCGTGATGTTTCATCCAAGTATGTGAACGTGGTCGAGGATGACAATTCTGATTACAGTGAGGGTGATATGCTTTCTATTTCAACGACTCAATTGACGGATGCGTGGATTCTTGATTCTGGATGTTCTTATCACATCACGCCAAATAGGGAATGGTTTTCGACATACAGGTCGGTTAATTCTGGTTCTGTTTATTTGGGTGATGATCAATGTTGCAATATTGTTGGTATTGGTGATGTCAGAATTAAGATGTATGACGGCTCTGTTCGGACGTTGAGTGGTGTTCGGCATATCCCAGATTTGAAGAAGAATTTGATTTCTTTGGGCACTTTGCAAAAGAATGGTTTTATCCCTAAGGCTGATGAGGATAGGGAGACCATTTGGATTGTTAAAGGAGCTTTGACAGTGATGAAAGGAAAGATGACAGCAGGGAATATTTACAGATTGTTAGGGAGTACCGTTGTAGGTGGAGTTCATTCTGTTGAGTCATGTGATGAAACAACCAAACTGTGGCATATGCGTATTGCTTATCTTAGTGAACGTGGTATGGCTGAATTACATAAAAGAAATCTGTTGCATGGTGTTAAAAGCTGTAAGCTCGACTTTTGCAAGTATTGTGTTCTTGGTAAACAGACTATAGTTCGTTTCAAGACTACGAAGCACACAACTGAAGGGATTCTTGATTATGTGCATTTGGATGTATGGGGGCCTTCCACGATATCGTCTTTGGGTGGATCTAGGTATTATGTTACCTTTATTGATGATTTTTCACAGAAAGTTTCGGTGTATTTTTTGAAACATAAGTCTGATGTTTTTGAGAAGTTCAAGCTGTGGAAAGCTGAGGTAGAAAACCAAACAGGATGAAAAATTAAGTGTTTGAGGTCTGAAAATGGTACAGAGTACACATATTCACAGTTTCTACAGTTCTATAAGGAGCATGGGATTAAGAGGCATTTTACAGTGCGCAAGACACCACAACAGAATGGTGTTGCAGAACGGATAAACAAGTCGTTGAATGAAAAAGCCAGATGTTTGCGGTTGAATGCGGGGCTTCCCAAACACTTCTGGACTGAGGCTGTTAACATGGCGTGTTATCTTATCAACAGATCGCCAAGGGCATCATTGGCTGGGAAAGTTACAGAAGAGGTATGGACTGGTTATGATGTTAGTTTTGATAACTTACGGATTTTTGGTTGTCATGCTTATGTGCATGTACCTGCTGATGAGAGATCCAAACTTGAAGCAAAATCGAAGGAGTGCATTTTTCTGGGTTACAAGAAAGGTGTCAAAGGATTCAAGTTCTGGGATCCAGTTGCGAAGAAAATTGTGATCAGTAGAGATGTTATTTTGATGAACAATCCATGTTGCAGCAGAAGAAAGACACGACAGTGGTGGATTTCGAGCAGTTTCCAGTTGAGAAACTAGAAACTTCTCAACCGACTTCTGGTGGTTCCGCTACGGATGATTTGTAGGATTATAGTCTCGCCAGAGACAGGGTGAGACGGACGAATATAAAGCCCCCGAGCAGATTGGGTTTTGAAGACTTGGTCTCTTTTGCACTTACTGTTAGCAGTGATGATCCGGTTACTTTTCATGATGCCATTACTAGTCAGGAAAACGACAAGTGGATGGCTGCTATGGTTGAGGAGATGGAGTCTTTGAATCACAATCGTACATGGGAGTTAGTTCCCCTTCTTAAGGGTAAGAAGCCGATTGGTTGCAAATGGGTGTATAAAAAGAAACCAAGCAGTAACAGAAAAAGAGGGGGAAAAGTT